GATGTGGATCAAGGTTCTAGCTCCTGGATTCAATCCCAGCCTAGTCCTGGCACCTCACTGCACATACACGGAATGCGCAGCAGATGGGTACTCTCTCCCTCAAACAGATCAGAAATAAAATACTTAAAACAAAAGGCCAACTTTTTTTTCAAAGATTTACTTATTTTAATGGCAGAATAACACAAAGCGTGAAAGAGACAGAAAGGGAGAGATCTTCCATCCACTGGTATACTCTCAAAATGGCCGAAACAGTCAGGGTTGAGCCAGACTGAAACTAGGAGTCTCCCACATGGGAGCAGGAGCCTGAACACTAGGGACATCTTCTGCTGCTTCCTCGTGCACATTAGCACAGAGTGGGATCAAAAGTGAAGCAGCAGGGTTCTTTAATGAGACAGTGGAGTTGCAGGCAGTGGCTTTACCTGCTCTGCCACAATGACAACCCCTAATTAATTTTGTATAAATTATTTTTAAAATATCTGTTTTATTGATAGCTAAGCAGTTGATGTCTAAAGTAAGCATGTTTTAAAAACCTGAAAAATCTGTTTTCTGAAATTACAAATTTTCTTCCATTAATAATATTATTTAAATCAAATATTAGCAACATAATATTGCAAATATTATAAATGTATAAATATAAACAAATAATATATTTTAAAAGATACCAAGAAAAGTCATTGACTCAAGGGAAAATAGAGTCATAAAGCTAGTCTTTTGTCAAACATAAAAAAATAAAATATTGTATTATAATGCTGAAATTTACTTAGTACTATTTTTATCAAAGGGCTAACTAGAAGCCTGAAGTTTTTTTTTTCCAGATTTATCAGCAACATATAAAAAAGTAGGGTGTGCATTCTTCATAAATAAAGTTCAGCAATTAGTTGGTCCGTGACTTCCTAATAAAAGCTTAAATACAGGTCTGACATCATGGCATAGTGGGCTAGGCTTCCACTGCGGCACTAGCATACCATATGGGCGGCACTAGCATACCATATGGGTGTTGGTTCATATCGTGGCTGCTCCACTTCCCATCCAGCCCCCTGCTTGTGACCTGGGAGGGCAGTAGAGTATGGCCCAAAACCTTGGGGCCCTGAACCCATGTTAGAGACTTGGAAGAAGTTCCTGGCTTTAGATCAGCTCAGCTCCAGCCATTGCAGCCACTTGGAGCGTGAACCAATGGATGGAAGATCTTCCTCTCTCTCTCCTCTCAAAAAATCTGACTTTCCAGGAAAAATAAATAAATCTTAAAAAACAGAAACTAGAGCAGCCAAGTCTAAAATCGGCACCCATATGGGATGCCAGTGTTGGAGACAAAGGATTAGCTCACTAACCCACTGCACCAGTCTGTTTTAAATGTCTAGGCATCTGTTTCTAATTTGAATAAGAGAAATTTTATACACAAACACACACACGCATACAAATCTAAAATGCTCTGACACCTTGGAAGTCTTCCACTTTGTAAAAGAATATGAAGCTTTTACGAAGTAGAAGCAATAAATGAACTTTAAAAATTCATAATAAAAATTGAATGCTTTCTGCTAAAGGCCATCAAAAAAGATGTATGCAGCTTAAGATGGAATGCAAAGGAGATGAACTGTGAGAAGGAGGTGAACTGCAAGAAGGAGGTGAACTCTGAGTCTTGGAATGGAAGCTTCCCTGGGGTGATGCTGCATGACAGTCTGTGGTTAGCAAAGCCAAGTCCACAAGGTCATGCTGTGGAACAAAGCAAACGACTGACAAGGCCAGGCCATAGGGAAGTAGACATACTTGAGACAGCAAGCCATAAGACTTTGCACAACTGGAGGTGAGTCCTGCCTTGCATTCCTCCCTTGTATTCCCCAGGAGTCTCCTGGAGGTCCTGTAGACACATCAGCATTAACATGTCAGGGCTGTCCCTGAGAGCAGAAGCTGCCAGGCAAAGCTGAGACGTACTGTCCCCTTTCAGCTAGCTAAGTCCAATCTTGTCACAGAGTGTTTTTTCCTTTTCTCAGTTGCATGCTGCTCCCTCTTCAACCCTGCACACTGACAGGCGGGCTGTAACACTTTCTCAAAGCTATTAATAAAGTGTTTGGAAACAGGATGGGGAGTAGGAAGGCATTGAGAAATAAGGAATGAAAACGCATGACATTTTAAAATAATATTTCACTATTTATAAAATATTTCACATAGGAAATGTGGAAGAAAACTATCCCCAAGAGGTATCGTGTGAAGTGAATTCCATTACTTCCTATTTAAATTCCTTAATTCAACACTGATATTGAACAGGATAAAATCTAAATGCTTTGTAAGGCATAACTTTTTTTTAATGAAATGATTACCAGTACATTCATTCCATTACTGGCATTGTGGCATGGAGGGCTAAACCCAGGTGAGGCTAGCACTCACCTGGGCACAGGTTTGTGTGGGGTTGTTCTGCCTTTGACGTCCTCCCTGGAAAAGCAGTGGAGTGTGGACCATGCCACCCCTTCAGACCAGCTCAGCTCTGGCCACTGCGGCCACTGGACCAGTGGCCAGAAAGTCTCTGGCTCTTCCTGTCTCTCTGTAACTCTGCATTTCAAATAAAGAAATAAATCCCCCCAAAACAAAGAAAGAAATAGAGAGAGAAGGAAGGGAGGAGGAAGGCAGCTAGGAAGATGGTATTCCTGTCCACTGTCCACCTTTGCTATTTGCTGGTTTCTTCCTCCCAACTTCACCTTCAAAGGAGGACCAACATTCTCTCTGGTCTCTCAGATTTGCAGGACAGAGTCCCTCGGCTATGGACCTTCCACGCTTGAGTATGAGTATTTCTCCCTGGGCATCCCTCCTTCACTGCCCCGCACAGCACTAGCACTTAGCCTTGGCAGCATCTCCACTTACACTCTGGACTTGGCTCTAGCATCTAATTGTATCTGAATTGCTCAAATGAGGAGCTTTCCTTCCAATTAAGAAATAAGAACCAGAGATCTTTGTATCTCTGGTGCCAGAATCTGTAAAGGCATTCAGAATGAAAAGCAACATGGTCATGAATGGCCTCCTTAAAGTACTGTGGGAATTTAAGGATTTATAGTCTTTAAAAATATATATTTTGCTTCAACTTCACATTTACTGTGAGAAAAGAAAAACAGAGAGAAAGATCTTCCATCCATTGGTTCATTTCCCAAATGGCCACTATGGACAGAGTTGGACAAGTCTGAAGACAGGAGCCAGGAATTTCTTCTCAGTCTCCCAGAGCCATCCTCTGCTTCTTTCACAGGCTATAAGCAGGGAGCTGGATGGAAAGTGGAGCAGCCAGGACAGGAACCAGCACCCATATGGAATGCCAGTACTGTAGGCAGAGGCTTGGCACACTCTGTCACTGAGCTGGTCCCAAAGATTTATGGTATAAAACTGAAAAATCTAGAGCCAATTATTAAGAGAATTACTAGCAAAGCAGAAAGTATGTATTCTGAACATCTGCTTCATAAGAGAAAAAAAACCCCTTATACTTAAAGTAAGATTTTAAGTATCAAAATATTAACAGTGATGTAAAATGGTGAAGAGTAATTTCCCTTCCCACTTTTTGCCTGGCTTAAAAAATATCTTAGGGGTAGTGCTGTGGTATAGCACATTAAGCTACTGCCTGCAGTGTAAGCATTTCATAATGTATGCCAGTTAGAGTCCAAAATGTTCCACATCCAACCCAGCTCCCTACTAAGGCAACTGGGGAAAGCAGCAGCAGATGGCCCAAATGCTTGTACCCATGTGGGAATGCGCTAGCAGCTGCAGGCTTCTGGCTTCTGCTGGCATAGCCCTAGCCATTGCAGCCATTTTAGGGAGTGAGCCCAAAGATGGATGGAAGTTCTCCCCCTCTGTCTCTTCTTTCTTTCTATGGCTCTTTTAAATGGATACTAAATCTTTAAAAAAAAAACTTGAATGTTTAACCAAATATTATTTTATATTAGCATAACCATAGCTAATTAAAAATTACTGATAATACTCTGGCCTTCCCAACTTACTCAACCATAATGGTGAGAGTCCGGCACCATGCCACCACAGGGACAGATGACAGCAGTGAAGAGGGCCCAGCACCCTCTTGCCCCAGGATACAGGACGCACACATTCCCAAAACACTGACTTTTATGAGAATTCTTAGTCTACACTCCTTATCTGTTGTGATGCTCTCTTTCAAGATCCCAAAAATGAGACTATTTACATGAAAGAGGAAACTAATTACTTATTATAATGGTTGATCCTAAACAGTATACTAGGTAATATTTGACAGTATCTATTTGTCTATCTTCAGTTGGCAGGAAAGGGGAAAATTATCTAAATAATACACCAATTACATATATAATCTCTGGTGCTAGAATCTGTAAAGGCATATAATATATGTATATGTGTACGTGTATTTGTATATACGTATATACAAATAAATATACATATTTGGAGGATAAATTATGTAGACAATATTCTTATTGGCCAAACTAACTCATAAAAACCATTACTATATAATAAACATGGCAGTGTAAGCAAATAGCTATTCTATCTTTTAAGTTGGAAAGACAAACTCTGAAAGCTCTGAGATTGAAGTATCAAAATAAACCACATGGGCCAGCACTGTGGTGCAGAATATTAGGCTCCTGCCTACAATGCAGACACCCCACATGGATACAGGTTCAAATCCCAGCCACTCCACTTTCCATGGCTGCTCCCAGCTAACAGCCTGGAAAAAGCAGCAAAAGATGGCCCAAGTGCTTGCATCTTTGCCACCCACATGGGAGGTCCAGAAGAAGCTCCTGCCTCCTGGCTTCAGCTTGGCCATCTGGGATATCAATCAACAGATGGACGATCTCCCTCTCCCTCTAACTCAACTTAATTTTTTAAAAATACAAACAACAAATAAACCATGAAAGTATTTCTCAAATCTCAGTGCTTGTTGCATTGGGTTTCAAGTATGACAGCAACTGGAACAACAAAATAAAAAATTTAGACCATTGCTTCCCAAAGAGAAAAAAAGCAAAGCATCTTGGGGAAAGCCATGCTACCTGAGACGTCTGCGACTTCTCCCCATGGGCCTCGGCTGCCGGGAAGAGCTCCATCCACAGGCTGAGCAGCGTGAAAAGGTTGACTTTGGAAAGCCGTGGGATCTGACCTACAACAGAGGGGGCAGACACTGTGAGGGATTTCCTGGTGAGGTACTTGGGAAAGGCTCTGGCTTACGCGGAGCTCTTGCACCCAGAGCTTTTGCAGCAGGTACCCACTTGCACCAAGCTCCTGTACCAAGCTGGGCGCTCTTTCCCCAGCCCTGACCCGCGGAACAAGGGAACAAGCCAAAGGAAGTTGTGAGAAGCCCTCTATATCTGCTGTGCCGGCGGAACCTGTTTTCCTTTCGGGTTCCGGGGTAGGTGTCCTCCAAGGGCAGCACGCAAAGAAGGCCAACCGGTCAGGGGGCAAAAAACACACCCAAACACGGAAGCGCTCCCGGAACAGCAGACGTGGGGATCAAGACAGGGTGGGGACTTGGAGGAACTGTTAGGGTCTTCACAACCCCGGGATCACGGTGCTAGGAAGTGGGCACTGGCACTGAGGAGTGGGGGACTTCAGGAGCCAGTGCAGAGGGGCGAGGGGCAAGGCAGAGTCGCTCTGGGAGCGGGAGGGAGACCCAGCGGTAGCCGAGCAGGGAGCCGGGACGAGGGGCAGAGGAGCCGGAGAGAGGGGCAGAGGAGCCGGAGAGGGGCAGGGAGCCGGGGCGAGGGACAGTGGAGCCGGGGCGAGGGGCAGGGGAGCCGGGGTGAGGGGCAGGGGAGCCGGGGCGAGGGACAGTGAAGGCGGGACGAGGGGCAGAGAGCCGGGGCGAGGGGCAGGGGAGCCGGGGCGAGGGGCAGGGAGCCGGGGCGAGGGGCAGTGGAGCCGGGGCGAGGGGCAGGGGAGCCGGGGCGAGGGGCAGGGAGCCGGGGCGAGGGACAGTGAAGGCGGGACGAGGGGCAGGAGCCGGGGCAAGGGGCAGGAGCCGGGGCGAGGGGGAGGGGAGCCGGGGCGAGGGGCAGGGAGCCGGGGCGAGGGACAGTGAAGGCGGGACGAGGGGCAGGAGCCGGGGCAAGGGGCAGGAGCCGGGGCGAGGGGCAGGGAGCCGGGGCGAGGGGCAGTGGAGCCGGGACATGGGGCAGTGAAGGCGGGACGAGGGGCAGGGAGCCGGGGCGAGGGGCAGGAGCCGGGGCGAGGGACAGTGGAGCAGGGACGAGGGACAGTGGAGCCGGGACGAGGGGCAGTGGAGCCGGGGCGAGGGGCAGTGGAGCCGGGGCGAGGGGCAGCGGAGCCGGGGCAAGGGGCAGGGAGCCGGGGCGAGGGGCAGGAGCCGGGGCGAGGGGCAGGAGAGCCGGGGCGAGGGGCAGGAGCCGGGGCGAGGGGCAGGGAGCCGGGGCGAGGGGCAGTGGAGCCGGGGCGAGGGGCAGGGAGCCGGGGCGAGGGGCAGGAGCCGGGGCGAGGGGCAGGGAGCCGGGACGAGGGGCAGTGGAGCCGGGGCGAGGGGCAGTGGAGCCGGGGCGAGGGGCAGCGGAGCCGGGGCAAGGGGCAGGGAGCCGGGGCGAGGGGCAAGAGAGCCGGGGCAAGGTCCCCGAACGCTGGGCGCCGGCTACTCACCTGTCATGCTACCAGTCTGCGTGCTGACTGACCGCCCGGGCCCCGCGCTTTCCAGATTTTGCATCTGCGCTGCTTCTCTCATCCTAAGCCCAGCGGCTTCTGCTTCTCAGGAACCCGCTCCCTGTCAGGCATGATCCAGTCCCTCAGCCACCACCCCCGCTGGCCTCTCCCAGCATCTGTGGAGCAACTGCCAGGGCGGGCGCAGCCAGATGACGGCCTGCCCCGGGCGCCTAGGCTGACGTCAGAGGGAGGCGTGGCCTGCGGGCCACCATTGTGGCCCCGGTGAAGCGCTGAGGTACCCCGAGTCTGTGGATGGGTGTTAGCTTTGGCTCTCGCGAAATTCAGCCACTCGCCCCGGGGTCCCAGCTGTACAGGGTGTGGGGAAGAATGGCTGCCTAGATGTGAAACGGGAATCTAGTCCGTTTTCTCACGGAGACTGGGACGCGGCAGGGACCCTGTGCTTCTGATCAACAACGCAAAGTTAAGAGTTAGAAAAGGGAAGGGCAAGTCGGAGTTAGCAGGTCCCCTAATCCCACCGCTTTCCCCCAGAAAATCTGAGTAGACTGGCATTGTAGGTTTGTTCCCATTACATTCTTGAGGTGTCCGGGATGATTCAGAGCGAAGCTCCTCTGGCTTCCCTAGTGACCTTATCTGTTATCAGATGGTGGGACACTGACAAAGAGAAACACACCTTGGGAAAGTCGGTCATCTTGGAAGGATAGAAATGCAATCTTCAGCGTTGTGCCTAATACTAGTGTATGGTATTTCGGTCATAGCAGATGTCACCTTTTTTTTTTTTTTTAGTCCAGCAGAAGACTCCCCAGCTTCTGGCCTGCAAAATAATGCCGTGTGTACCTGTCTCTGGTGTTCATATGCAAGAATTGGTTTAAGGACTGTGTTTCTGGGAGAATTCTTGTGTAGTCATTGTCAAGTTTACTAGCTAAACTACTAATAATGCTGAAATACTTTCCAACAGGATTGTATACCCATCAATTTTTTGTATTACCAGGCTTTCAATATTTCCTAGTTTGGTTAGTATAAAGTTGAATCTTCAGGCTTTGTTTCCCTTGCCTTCTGTTTAGGTTGTCCTGTGTTGGTCGGCTACTTGTGTTTCCTCTCTGTGATCTGTTAACAAATTTTCTTTTAGAAAGTAGCTATGACCTACTCATTCAATTTTTTTTTTAAAGATTTTTACTTATTTATTGGAAAGTCAGATACACGGAGAGGAGGAGAGACAGAGAGGAAGATCTTCCATCCGATGATTCGCTCCCCAAGTGACCACAATGGCCGATGCTATGCTGATCCAAAGCCAGGAGCCAGGAACTTCTTTCGGGTATCCCACACAAGTGCAGGGTCCCAAAGCTTTGGGCTGTCCTCGACTGCTTTCCCAGGCCACAAGCAGGGAGCTGGATGGGAAGTGGAGCTGCCAGGATTAGAACCGACACCCATATGGGATCCAGGCGCATTCAAGGCGAGGACTTTAGCCATTAGGCCACGCTGCTGGGCCCAACAAATTTTCTATTTGATTGTACAACTTTTATTTCTTCCATAAGCTCCTGGCCGGCCATTGTGGCCATTTCAGGAGTGAACCAGTAGATGGAAGATCTTTCTCTTTGTCTCTCCTTCTCTCTGTGAATCTGACTTTCCAATAAAAATAAATAAGTCTTTTAAAAATAAGCATTCTTTACATATTGTGGATATTCTTTTTTTGCTGAGTATATATGATAAATCTGTACTACTCATTAGTAATTTGCCTTTCTTTACTTCTTTTTATGATGTCTTGCCATGTACAATTCTTTGTGTTTTTTTTTTTGGTTTAAAAAATTATTAGCAATCATTTACCTATTTATAACCGTTAGTGAGACATAGCAATGTAAGTATACACTGGGTATTAATCAAACCAGGGTAATTAGAACCTGCCTTTCTTTGACATTACCTTATGATTGAAAACTTGGGACATTTTTTTATTTGTTCGTAAAATATAGAGTAGGTTATTCTTGACAATAGTGCTACTGTGATATGTAGCACTAGGAACTGAAGCTTTCAACCTAACCTGGTGTTGGGTCTCCTTATCCAAACTCCTTCCTGCCCCATTCCTCCCAGTCTCCTACTCTTGCATTTGTGCTCAAGTGTTTTGTCTCCTTTCTACATCTGATGGAGAACATGTGAAATCTGTCTTTCTATGTTCGAATTATTTCACTTCATATGATGTCCTCCTAGTCTACCTTAAGTTGCCGAAAATGACAGGATTTCATTCTTTTTATAGCTGAAGAATATCCCATTGTGTACACATGTCACATTTTCTGTTCATCTCAGCATGCATGCCATGCTTGGTCTGTACCTTGGCCGGGATGACCAGTGCTGCAGTAAGCATGATGGAGCAGGTATCTGTTGGATACAAATGACTTCACATGTTTTGAATAAGTACACAGTAGAGAACTAGACGTTTCCCTTCCCAATATTTCCTCTCCGGGATTTTAGTTAATGAGAAGTTGACCATATAGTGTCACAACAAAACAAGCAGGAGGCCTGTGGATCTCGTCATCAAAACACTGTACAATTATCCTTCAAAAAATCAGTGTAGAAGGGGGCCACAGGATAGATGCATTTCCACGAAAAACACAGAAATCCATGCAAAACAGGACCTTCAGAAATTCACAGGAAATGTATAATATGAAAACTATGCATCTCAAAAATTTTACACTGAGCTTTTCAGTCCATTTTTCATGAGCATTTTATAATCCTCTTGTGTCTGTAGCTGGCTGTGTTGACACTGTTAGAGATTCAATACCTGGTACATTGAAGGACACATTGCTCAGTCTCAAATTCCCTCCTCATGAGAAGGCATCCGCCAGCCACCATGGTTTGTTTTTTGTTTTGTTTTGCACAGCTAGATGATCAGGTGGCAGCTGATAGGACTTGGTGACTAATGCATCCTTGAGCATAGCATTGGCCCTAATTTGGTCACTTCAGTTCATTTGTGACTATAAATGCCACCACCTTGGCTTTAGAAAATAAGTTCTCCAAAACAATTCTCAGGAGGCAGTTCCTGGCAGTGCTGAGAGCCAAAGGAACAAAGGGAAGCCTGAAACAAAACCCAGACACCCTTCACAGGAAGTTGACTTTGTTGTGGAGGGTATTCCTGTCAGAGAGAAATGAACCTTGGGCTTTCCATTTACTGTCCCGCACAGTATTCTCAGAAAAGTAAACTTGGTGCCATGGGGATTAATGGACCACGGAGCAAGAGCATGCAGGGAACCATGGGAACTCTCTCTGTTCCCCTGACTGGGGAAGGACTTGGGAGCCCATTTTCTGAGTTTTCCCAGGTCCACTGCCACAGTCTGCCAGAGAGCACTTGGGCAGATGTGTCACTGTCCCTGTGACTATGGTGCCCCCTGGGCTGCCAGGAGGGACCACCTGGGTTCTGTTTTCTTTATAATGAGCGTCTGTAAAGTGACTCTTGAGTTAAGTATGTTAGAAATCAGCCGAGGGATGGCTCAGCGTGGTGCCCTAGCGGCTAAAGTCCTCTCCTTGAATGTGCCAGGATCCCATGTAGGCACTGGTTCTAATCCCGAGCAGCCCTGCTTCCCATCCAAGCCTTGGGACTCAGCATCCATGCGGGAGACCCAGAAGAGGCTCCTAGCACAGATCAGAGCAGCCCTGGCTGTTGCAGCTGGCCCCTTGGGGAGTGAATCATTGGATGGAAGATCTTCCTCTCTGTCTCTTCTCCTTTCTATATATATCTGATTTTGCCATGCCAGTTCCCCAAATGTCTGATGTTTCCAGTCCCGGCTGTTCCACTTGTATCCAGCTCCCTGCTAGTGCATCTGTGAAAGCAGCAGAAGATGGTTCAGGTACTTGGGTTCTTGCCACTCATGTGGGAGATCCAGTTAAGAGTTCCTGGTTTCAGCCTGGCACAGTCCTGGCTATTGTGGCCATCTGGGGAATAAACCAGCAGAGGGAAGATCTCATTAAAAAAAGTCTCAAAAGCCATATAAGCTAGAAAACAAAACAAAACAAGAAAGTATGCTGGAGAAGTTCTGAGACAGGCACTTTTTGTTCAGTTTGGTGACATTAGCATGGTCACATAGGGACACGCACTGCGAGTTGCAAATGCTGCATATGTTAGTGGGTGGTATTTCCTAACTTAGAAAGCTTGGGTACAAGCTCTTGAGCAGGGGTGCAACTGGGAATAAAACTAGCAGCAAGGGCTGACATTGTGGCATAGAGGGTTAAGTCACCACCTGCAATGTTGACATCCCGTAAGGGTGCCAGTTTGTGCCCTGGCTGCTCTACTCTGATCCAACTCTCCATTAATGTGCCTGGAAAGACAGTAGGCAGCAGAAAGCGGCCCCAATGCTTGGGCTTCTAAATCCACCTGGGAGACCCAGGTGGAGCTCCTGGCTCCCTGGCTTTGGGTGGGCTCTGACCTCTGTGATCATTTGGGGAGTGAATCAATAGTTAGAAAATCTCTCTGTCTCTTTCTCTTCCTCTCTCTTTAATGTTGACTTTAAAGCAAGTAAGTAGGGTCCGGTGCATGACATAGCAGCTAAAGTCCTCACCTTGAACGTGCCAGGATCCCATATGAGTGTCGGTTCTAATCCCGGCGGTTCCACTTCCCATCCAGCTCCCTGCTTGTGGCCTGGGAAAGCAGTCATGGACGGTCCAATGCTTTGGGACCCTGCACTCGTGTGGGAGACCCTGAAGAGCTCCCGGCTCCTGGTTTTGGATAGGCGCAGCACTGGCTGTTGCGCTCACTTGGAGAATGAATCATCGGACAGAAGATCTTCCTCTCTATCTCTCCTCCTCTCTGTATATCTGACTTCGCAATAAAAAAGATCTTTTTTTTTTTTAAAAAAAGTAAGTAGGTAAGTAAATCTTTTTTTAAAAATAGAGCTCACGTAAAACAAAATGAACGGACAAGTTTAGGAGCGGGTTCTTGACATATTCAAGATGTCTGCTGTGGCACAGCAAGTTAAGCTGCATGAAGCCACTCATCAGCTGCTTCACTTCTCAAATGAATGCCCAGAGCAGGGCTGGTCTAAAGTCAGGATCCAGGAATTTCTTCTGGGTGAACTTGGGCCTTCTTCAATTGCTCTTGCAGGCACATTCATACGGAGCTGGATTGAAAGCAGAGCAGCCAGGGCTTGAACCAGTGCCCATTTGGCATCTCAGGTGGCATCTCAGGTGACGGT